CCACATACATTCCACTAAGGAGGAAACCCGGAAGTGAGGCGATTCATGGCAACGGACCCCAGAGTTTAAAAAGCCAGGCGGGAAAACACACCGACGCTTCATCGGAGGCCGCACTGAGGATGTTACCAAGCACGGTAACGAAACGTCTGCGGAACAACAAACCAGCTCAGTGAGCCAACCAACCTCAAGTTATTTGTGTAGTTTAAAAATTTAGTTGGTAGTTTGACTTTGTATTTCCCTCTCCTATTTCTAAATCTTGCTACATTGCACTCATTATACAGATTTGTTGCATTTATAAGGCTAGGCCTGTGTTTTGAAGTTTCAAATTGACGTGTAACCATCCATCTACTTCAGACAAGCTCACTTTGAAAGGACGATGAGGATTAAGCAGTGGTTGCTAGTTGAGTAGACAATTGTTTTAAAGTAATGGAGCTTTTAAAACCAGTTTTATAAATTGACTAGTGGTTCTGCAGGGATCTGTACTGGACCACTGTTTGTGATTTATGTAATGACTTGGATGAAAAGGTAGATGGGTAGTTTAGTGAGTTTGTAGGTGACCCAAAGATTGGGGGAGTTGTGGATAGTGTAGAACGCGGTCAAGGGAAACAGCAGGATATAAGATAAGCTGCAGATATGGGTGGAGAAATGGCAGATGGAGTTTAATTCTGGCAAGTATGAGGTGTTGCACTTTGGGGCTAAAATGTTGAGGGAAGGTATACTGTTAATGGCGGGACCCTTTTGGAGCACTAATGTAATGATCTTGGTGTCCTTGTCCATAGCTCCTAGGAAGTGGTCACACGAGTAGATAGGGTGGTAAAACGTGGGTAAACAGCGTGCTTGCCTTTATTGGTCGGTGTTGAGTGCAAGAGTCAGCAAGTGATGTTGCAGCCTTGTAAACTTTGGTTAGGCTGCACTGTGCTGGCCACAATACAGGAAGGATGTGAGGCTTTGGACAGGGTGCCAAAGAGGTTTACCAGGATACTGCCTGGGTTAGAGAGTATGAGCTATAAGAAGAAGCTGCACAAGGTAGGGTTGTTTTTTTTTCCTGGAGCAGCAGAATCTGAGGGAAGACCCGTTCGAAGTTTATAGAATTAAGAGACGTCGATGAAGTTGACAGTCTTTTTTCCAGAGTTGAAATGTCTAATACTAGAGGGCGTTAAGGTAAGAGGGAAAACTTCAAAGGAGATGTAAGGGGCAAGTTATTGTTTGCACAGTGTGGTAGGTGCCTGGAACGTGCTGCCAGGGGGAGTGGTGGAGGCAGATGCAATAGGGACCTTTTTAAGGTGCTTTTAGATAAGCACATGAATAAGCAAGGAATGGAGGGATATGGACCATGGGCAGGCAGGAGGGGTTAGTTTAATTTGGTGTCATGTTCGGCACAATATCGTGGGCTGGAGGGCCTGTTCCTGTGCTTGTTCTAATTGTAGACAAGAAGCTTCTTGGGTAGGATTTTCTATATACAAGAATAAGCAGAACGTATGTCATGTTACTTCACAGTTTTCATTCACAACTCTAGAAAACTCTTGATCAGTTTGCCCTGGTCCCACTCTAATTAGATGTTTCTAATTTACCTTGTAGATTGATCCAAAACCATGTACGCCTCGATCCATGCAGCAAGAAAAACCAAAACCAAAAGAAGGTGGATGGGGAGTAAGTATTGGGTAGGAAGTACTGTGCTGTAGACTACACCAAGTTGCTTGCTTTAAGAGAATTTTAACCTGTGTTCTCTCGCAGTTTCTTGGAAATGTTATATTCCCCTTTTTGTGAGAGAATCTAGAACTAGGAGTCATAGTTCAAAGTTAAGGAGTCTAAGAGGAGAGAATTTTTTTAAAGATTAGCAGTCTTTGAATTCTCTTCCTTAGGCAGTTGATACAGAATCTTCAAATATTTTTAAGGCAAAGGTGGGTGAATTCTTGATTACGAAGGAGATCAAAGATTATCAGGGGTAGAATTGAGGTTAAAATTAGATCAGTTAAACTAGACCAGGTTTGTGAAGGGCTGAATGGCCTACTGTTGTTCCCCTGTTCATATATATATTCTGTAATCAGTTCAGTAAATTATCAGTTTACTTCTTTATTCATGTGTAAAACCTGGTTTTAAAAGATTTTTGTGGTGCAGCAAGCTGGAGTTCCCCTGCTCCATGCCACAGAGTGGTGACATTACTGTATGCTGCTCGCCCTTCTGATTCAACCATTGTGGGTAGACATCCAGTTGAAGATCAGTCATCCTTAATTTGCTGGGATGAAAAAAAAGACTCCAAATTTACACTAACTGGCAAATCTTCATGGAGGCAGTCAAGTGTAGGATCAGTTTTGGGATGTCCTATAATTTTAACAATTTTGCAGGCAAGATCTGATCTTGTTCACACAAGGTTGCTTTGAAGTGGCTTTACTTTTACAGTTCTTTTTACTTTTAGTGTAAATCTGTCATGGTGTGACACAGTAAGTTGAAGGCACTATAGTCTGAGGACCACGGGGATACTTCTCATTAGAGATGAGTGTTGGTGGTTTAACCTGAGGATCACCATGCGAGGGGAGTGGTTGAGGAGCAGTCCTTCACGGTAACCTCAGCCAGTCTTGGAGTTGAACCCGTGCTGTTGGCATCAGACTGCATCGTAAACCGGTAGTCCAGCGAATTGAACTAACTGACCCCCACCTGCTGTAGAACTGCCAATAATGCCCTATAACTTTTCAAATTCCGAGCAAGTCATCACATCTTCGTCGCATATTTGAATGAGTTACCGCCATTTTTGTACCAGAGTACAAATTGTCATTGGCATTTAATTTTGTTTAAACTTTGCAGAAGAGTTCACAAAACCAGAGCAGCAATAAATCAAAGAAGGTATTTGTTGGTGGAATTCCTCACAACTGTAGTGAGTCAGAACTCAGGGATTACTTCAAAAGGTTTGGAGTGGTGAGTAACTTATCATTTTCAGACTTGACCCTAACTATTTGAAGAACTTTAAAACTTTTGTTTATAGTCTGTGCTGAATGCTGTTGAGTGTATTCTCGGAGCACGAAACGTCAGCTTTCCTGCTCCTCTGATGCTGCTTGGCCTGCTGTGTTCATCCTGCTCTACACCTTGTTGTCTCACAATCTAGATATTAGTTTGGTAAACTTTTAAACCTCTTCAGTGCGTTTGTATTCTTCTTTAAATAAGGTGACTAGTATTGTACACTCTATTCCATATGTGGTCTCACCTGTACTCTAGTAATAGAGCAAGACATACAATTTCCTTCGCAATAAATTATGTATAAGATGCTAATATTCTATTAACTTTGCTAATTACTTGATCTACCTTCATACAAGCTACCTGCAATTCATGCACAAAGACGTCCAGATGCCTTGGCTTTTCAGAGCTCTACAATCTTAACATTCAGATAACATGCTCCTTTGTTTATTTTTCCTGCCAAAATAGACAACCTCACATTTTCCAACGTTTTGATGTATTTGTCAGCTATTTGCCCACTCGCTTAACCTAACTAAAAGGAATAATTTCCTTGTCCTGTACAGTTTCCTAGCTTCCTAAATGCTTCTGTCATATGCTGGATTGATGGGCCAGGAGCTTAAAGGAGAACTGCATGAGCTGATTTTTGTCCAAATGGAAATTGCTTCATAATTTTAAATCCTGTTTGCATTATTGTTCTGTCTTGCTGCTCTTGATATTTTGGTTCTTCCTTTTAGGTCTCTGAAGTGGTAATGATCTATGATGCCGAGAAGCAGAGGCCCCGAGGTAAAGGCTGATCCACTTTTTTGATAATTTAATCCGTCTTTATTATATTCAGATGACAAACTATCTTTTATAAAGCCATACAGTACTTTTCAATGGGTTCTCAAAAATGTGTATATGACTCAATTTTCCATTTTTTTTTCCTTTTTGAAAAAAGCCATTGAGGAAGCAAATGAGAAGTATTTAACTTTCCTCCTATGAAGGCAGGTTATGCATATTAAGTTGCCATACTCAGGAAACCTGTGCGTTCTATATAGCACCATTAGAAACATTGATCAAAACATGATATTTCAATAGCTTGTTTGTTAGACTACCAGTTTGCCATTTCCCAGTAACTGTTGCAATGCAAAAAAAACTAAGAATCAAGAAAACTTCATTGCAGAGATCTATTGGACCCTGCAAAAATTGTAAAAAGCACAGAGCTGCTGCTGCTTTCTTGTATGAGATGAGTGTTCATTTATTTGGTGGATCATTGTGCAATTTTAAGTTTGGGTAAGTGATTTGCAATTGCAAAATTATAAAATGTAAAACAATTGGTGTGATCCTCAACATGTGAAACCCAAGTTGTGTGAAAGAATTTGTTTTGGCCACAGGTTTGATTTCCATAGCGTGTTTTTATGTGTCTAATGGGGCCCATGCTTCATTTTAGAAATACAAGTGCGCAGTTCAGGCTGACACTTTGCAGTTTTTAAGTGGTGGGTGAGATATTTTAGGCTTCTGCCTGACCCTTATGTGGATGTGGAAGATCCCCTGGCTGCTTTGAAGAAGAGCAAGGGAACCTTTCCCAGCGTCTTGAACATTTTAATTATCAAACCTGTGTCTTGTGGAACCTCCTGCTAATTGGTTGACGCATTTCCTGATGAGTCACCTTCAAAAGTGCTTTATTTTCTGAAGTAGCGCAGTGTGTTGTGTAAAATGCAAGTTATTTGTTATGAAATGTTTTTATTAGTATTATAAGAATTTGTCCTTAGCTTGCTGCTTTTGGTCAGGATTATTTCCATCCTTTTCAGAGCACAGTCACAGGATTGCACTAAATGGCTTCATAGATTTTGTGATGTCTTTTGGCTGCTTATATTAAAAGAGTGGGATGTGGTCTGGGTACTATGACTCTTATGACTTTGGAATCCCTGACCGTGGATCCTGAGTGCTATGATTCACCAATTAATGTGGTCTCATTGTGCTGTAATTACTTAGCTTGAGCTGCGCTGTTGGGTGGAACATGCACTTATTCTGCTGCTTGGACAATGTGGTGCCATAATGTTGGTGCCTGACCTCCCCTTCCATTTTTGACCATGGTACCATCTCCATTTTCATGTTTGTGGTTAATGAGTAGAGATTAGAGAGAGGTTTAAAAAATACATGAGGGGCAGTTTTTTTTTTACACAGAGGGTGGTTTGCGTGTGGAATGAACTTCCTGAGGAAATGGTGGATGAGGGTACAATTACAATATTTGAACATAAGTACATGAGTAGGAAAGGTTTGGAGGAAAATGGGCCAGGAGCAGGCAGTTGGAACTAACTCACTTTGGGATTATGTTCGGCATGAATTGGTTGGACTAAAGTGTCTGTTTCCGTGCTGTACGACTCTGACTCTCAAAATGAAAATATGACAACCGTGGCACCATGGCAATGTCAAAAGTTATACATTGAGAAATGGTACCACGTCGGAAAGGAGAAATGAAACCAATATTAGTGATGACTTTCTGTGGAATTGTTAAATAGATGAGGTGAACATTCAGGGCTGCCACTGAGGACTTATTGCGTCAGTAAATTCAAGAGTTAGATTCCTAGCTTGAGGGATATAATTGAATTGTGGAATAGGATGTTTTCTACATATAGTCAGATGGGTTGCTATTGTATTCTGTTTTCCCTTCCCCCGCCCACCCAAAAACAAAAAAATTGTATTACAGTGCTACAAACATTTAAGTCCAAACTACTCCATTAAGAAGAAATAGTATCCAAATGTGTGGTAAGTGTATCATGTACACTGGTTCAATGTCAGTATTCTTATGACGATAAGCTGAAACAAACTTGCATATATGAAGTTGAGTCTAGGCACCCAGATTTTAAAGAGGTGGTGCGGTACTTGAATTAGCTGAATGGTGTGATCAGGTAAATTGCAGCAGCTTGACATTTGAGCTGTAAAATTTTTTTGTAGTTTAATGTAGTGTGTGCTCACTTTCATATTTACTTTGAACTGTAAATTGCTAATAGAGTCTATTTGACATTTCTGAGAACCTTTTTGTTTATGAAGAATCTGTATGTGAAAATCCATGTCAGTAAGTATGCTTGCTAAAATGGTAGTTCCCAAGCTTTTGAGCATCATGCTCCATTTTTTAAGTCAGTTATTCCCCTCACAATTTGAATGCATTTTTTTTTTAGAGCGGAGTTGCTTTTATTTTGTTGAATAAATTAAGTTTTCCAAGTTTATTTCTGTCCTGGGTGGATGTTAATTGATCAATCATTGGTTAAATTTTGTTGAATAAACTATTATTCCTGAAACTAGTTCTTTGCTGATGGGTCAATTTTTAAAAAAAGATCCAAGCTGAAGATAATTACATGGCCATCACAGTCAGACAATTTGTGTTAGTTTGTCATCTGAATCCATTCATTTATGTTGGATATTCATTTTCAAGATTTTTGTCTTAATATATACGTAAGTTAATTAGAATTCAGTCTTAGTTTTACTTTGTTATTTAAGTATCATAATTTACATAAGTATTTAGTTAAATCTAAGTGCAATAATGTAAGAAACAAATGTGCATTGTTTTAATGTAATTAACTTATCTCTTTAGATTTTCTTCTCTAGGTTTGTGATAAGTTGTATCACACAGGTACAGGCCAGTTCTACACACTCAGGAGGGATGGGATATGTCTGTCTGGGAACTGCAGGACTTTGGTTATTTGCTCTTGTTGCTGACAGCAGAATTTTCTGCTGCAAACCATTTTGGCCTGTATCTTTGTGTATCAGATGTTTTTAAGTAGAACTTCTCTGGGCTGACCAACATCGTTGGATAAGCTTTGAGGGTGCTTCCTGTAGTGTATGTATATTATATATATATATATATTTTAGTTTGGTTTATAAAGCTATAGCACTATGTTGCTGCTGTCAGCACTAGCTGCAAAGCAATGTGCCTACCAAGAGGAAAAACACAGGGTTTCAGATAAAACTGGTTGGCCCCAAAATTATATTATTTCACCAGTGGTTTTCAAGAAATTGGTTGCAAATTGTGTAATTCAATTTTTCACATGACATTGTACCTTTAGAAAAAGTAATAGTAATGTTAAAATTATTTCTTAGTTTGTTTCCTTCTTGCCTGAGATCATATTCAAGATGATCAAATGGTTGAAGTCCACAAGCAAATAAAAGGTGAAAGTGTATCACTTCACATATCTGGCACTATAACTTAACCATGTTGTTGAGGCCAAGTGCTGTTCTCCATTTCCTTGCTACTTAGTACACACTACAAAATGGAACACTGCTGGGTATCCCTACCTTACACAGTTACGATTTCTTCTTGAAGAAAGCCAAATACTATTAGATGGTGGATATTAGCTAATTGTATAATTTTTCTTTTAATTGTACTGCCTACGTTTCTGCTAAGCAACATCCATCCTTTTAATCTTTTGGAGATCCTATTAATTTAGGCTTGATTTATTATCTGATGTTCAAAGATTCCAAGCTGTGTCTATTAGTGACTTGTTAGATTGCAGTACTACCTCAGAACCCATCTCTAATTCTAAAATACAAATTTTTAGGATTGCCTCTTCTTGCAACATAAGGAGCCTTTTTCTATGTGAGGGCCAACAATTCGTATTATTTATGTTTTAATGGCCATATATTTAGCTAGAGATAAAGTACGTTAATAAAATCTGTTTGCTAATGAAAATTACACTTTTTATTTTGGAAAAAAAGAGACAAGCTGTTACAACGTGGAGAAATTGAGGCTGGTTGAAGAGCCCTGGCACTAGTGCTAAGGCTATTCCTTCGTCTAGTAGGAGTTGCACAGTTGCTCATGGAGGGCTCTCCTTTTGATGACTCCCAGCTTCTGTTTGCTTAGAATCTCCCCACAGCAACTGCTGATGTGTTGGGGATGTAATGGTCCTAACATGAATTGTTCTTCTTTTTCCCATGTGTTGCATTAACGTAGGGCTCAATGTTAATTTAATCGAAATCACTTTACATTGTGTTACATTTATATTTTGCACCCTGAGGTTAGAAATGGCATATCTTTACTTGCTGATCAGTTTCTTTCAGCCTTGATGGTTGATCAGGTTAAAATGCAGTTTGTCCCAAAACAAAAAGTCATCATGCAACAAGTGGGACTAATAATGTCCCAGCTTTTTAAACATCGCTTCATTTGGGAATCACCATAAAATAGTTTGAGCTTTTGTAATCCAGAATAGTTTTCACTGGTAAATTTCTGTACTTTATTATAGCTGAATCCTGACTGGTTGAAACTTGTCCTCCTGTCAGTGATTAAACAGAAGAGGCTTCCAGTTATCTGAAACCCTGGGATAATCCTTTAAATTACCCCGCCCTAATACTGTGCATCATCCTGTTTTGTGTCACTACACCCTGCTACCTTGATTCACTCTTCGTCGTTGGATAGGTTTTGGATTTATTACTTTCGAGGACGAGCAATCAGTGGACCAGGCTGTCAACATGCATTATCACGACATCATGGGCAAAAAAGTGTGTAGTTGTAGTTTTATTTTACCCTTAGATTGAACCGAGGCTTAGGTGACTGGAGATTTCACTGGGGTTATAGTGTGTGGTCTCAGCATTAAACGAATCCTATTAAGAGGTAACCTAACTCTTAGAAGGATCTAGATTTTAATCCTATTTACTGTGGAAGAAGCACTAAATCAGTTGTATTTCATGTTTTTACCCTTTTCAATAATTTTATATACAAAATCTCTTTCAAAACAGTGGAATTTAGTTAAATTAATTGTGCCCATATATATAAGAAATGAGTCTGCATGCATTTAAGCAGAATTTATTAGCTATTTGCACGTTAGTATTAATTAGCTGTATTAGTTAGCTATTCATCAGAAGACCGGTGAAATCTGTATTAATCATTTAAGTCTCCGTTTAAGAAACCACTCCTTCAGATATGTGTTTTTAAGAACAGAATTTGTGACTAGCTAAGTTTCTGAGTTGTAAGAAAATTAGTAGTGTTTGTAATGAGTGTCATATCTGTATTGACATGCTGAAGGACTGGTGGTCAATTTTATTTTGTTTTGTCAGAGGTCACTTGCTGTATACTTTAGTCGATAATAACCTGCTTTAATGTAAAAATCCAGTTAAGTGGCCTCATTTGCTTGATCTTCATACTGTGTTGTAATGCAACCTGTAAATGCTTGCTTTTATGTATCGGGAAGCAGTGAATTAAGCTGCCTGAGTTGGAAAAGAGGCGAGTTATGTTCAGTTACCAGTCTGGCTCTTGTTGTACACGAGCTATACTCCAGATCATGTAACACAATTTTGAGTTTAAAATGTCAGGTTAGAAACTTCGTAGATCAGTTCCAGTAGATTTGATCCTTCCTTGTGGTCAGTACATTGGGCAAAAAAGATTTTTAAAAATTCCAGTGTATTAACTTGACTGTTACTAATGAGCATCGAAAGCCTCTGCAGGTTCTGATGACAAACTATTTGTTGGAGCTTGAGTATAATTTAGCCATCAAGGTTCATTTGAAGGTGCAACAACCATAATATTCAGTGGTGCTCATGCCATGCAACAGTGCTGATGTGATGCAGTTGCTGATCGTTGCTGCTGAACTCTTGAGAGGCCTGCTTATAATTACTTGCCAGCCCCAAAGTTCAAATCTAATATATCTCACTGCAAAATCGTTGCTGCACAAAACCATAACTGGGTATTGGTGAGAGAGTCATCATTTTTTAAGTTTTTAATTTTGGGGGTGACTGTACAATGTTGCAAGTAAAGTTTGCTTGATAATCTCAAATTTTCAACTTTACTGAGTACTTTAATAAAGTCTTCAATTATTTGCCAGTAATGTCCCGTGTTAATGCAAGTGAACTGCTTTTCTTCAGCATGGGGCTGTGAAAAGGTGAAGATTGAATTTGGACTAGATTTTGACTTTGGAATAAGAATTGAAAAATGCTTTTGTCTAGCGCACTTATGAAAATATCAAACTGTTTTATTTTTTGCCCAGAATATAAAATTCTAGTACTTGTGTTAGCCAAAAGTGGTGTAACTTTTATTTGAGTGCTTGCCTTATCGCCCTTTCCACCAACCCACTCATAGAACACTCTAAAATACACCTGAGACGACTTAAAACCAACAGGGAGTAGTTTTTTTTAATATCAATAATGGAAGTAAACTTTGCATCCAAAAATAGTGCAGGGACTGAGTAGCACAAATGCCAGTTGCATGACAGTAAGCATTGAAAATGTCAAGCACAGGAACATCAACGTTCGTGTATGCATGTACACAAAAATATTAATTTAACCATTACATAAGACATGAAGTTATGACTTAAATTTTAAATTTTCTTTCATCAGTTCAATCCCAGATGCATTAAATTTGGAAGATTGAAAAGTATAGTTGCTGTTTTTATTTAAATAATGATTCTGTGCTAATTTATGTAGAATTTTTAATCCCATTAACTTGATACAAATTATTTTTGGTTGAGAGTTTTGCTTGCTAGAATGCATAGCAGTCATTTAGTTTAGCAGCATCTTGCATCTAGCAGTATCACTGAAATTCAGACACGTTCCATTTTACAGTTCAATAAGATGGATGTCTGGACAATAATTTGGGTGATGTTTTTACTATTTATTGATATAATTGGTTCTCCAATCTATACAAAGCCGTTGTATTGACGTGAATGTAAGGACTTAGCTGATTTGAATACTATCAAACTTCAAGTCAACTTTAAAGGTAGCCATAAAACAAAAGTTTAACAAATCTGAATAAAATATTGTGTGATACATTTTTGAGCAGTTAATTAAATGTTTTTGACGCTTGTGAATGGGTTAGTTTGTATGTTCTCTGAAAATGGCAGTTTACTTTTGATGAACTTCGAATGCTCTTTGCTAAGTGGTGGTGGGGATGTGTAATTTATTCAAACACAGTATGAAGATTTGCTTCTAATTTACTCAACTGTCCATTTTTATCTGCATGTATTTCCTTTTTTCTGTTAAAGATGTAATTTAAGACTCGATTAGCTCATCCATTCCCTTCTGACATTTTGTTTCAAGTAATTAATTGAGATTCTTTATGCATAGCCTGGGGAAGGTAAGTCATTATCTTCCTTTAGATGTTTAAATAACATTTTTAAGTAAGGCCACGGCAGTCAAAAGGCTATGTTTCTCAGGTAATATGAATCTGTATTTTTTTTAAAAAGGGTGATGGTTAGATTAATTTCTGTTGCACTAGATTTTGATATTTTCAAACGAGTTAATTACAAAACTAGATTTTAATTTGCAATACGCCTAACTAATGTAATTTACATGTGTAAAGCAGTAATTTATACTTGAGAAACATATTTTCATATATTGGCCTATTTAAGCTATTTAATGTAGTTGTAAGTTATAAGATGTAAGTGTAATGTTAAGTTTGATAGATGTGGGTGTGTCAAGGGAGAGGGGTATGCAAGAAAAGGTAGTGGTTTTTTTATCCTTCCCTCTGTTATCCTAATTAGGTTGAAGTGAAACGTGCAGAGCCTCGTGACAGTAAAGGTCCAGGGCCTGGCCAGCCAGGAGCACCACAGTGGGGCAGGAGTTTGCCAAATGCAGCTAATGGCTGGGGAGGTCAGCCCTCACAAGGCTGGCAGCAACAGACCTATGGTAGTCCACAAGGTAAATAGGTTAATCATTCAAAGAGATAACAAAGAATGTGATTAAGGTGATGTGCTTCTCCATTTTATGTGGCATGTAAATTTTTCTGAAATTGTATTATTGAGTTCTAGAATTGCTTTCTAGCTGTAAATTTAGCATTTAATTATTTGTGGTTAATCTTTTTTGGATACCTTCTTAAACAAATGTGTCACTGAAGTATATACCACTAGCATTTTTCAGCAGCAGTATTGACCTTAACAATTGAAATGTTCAATACCATTCAGCAGACATACTCATGCGTGCTACAAACTGCTGCTTTTCTGCCTCTGAACCTGTAAGCAGGAGTTTTGAAGCCTCCTGTAGTGGCCTTGCATGATTTGATACAGTTGGTGTTTCTGCCCGAGCTAGAACATCTATGTGTGCTTGTTCCAAAATTTGAGCGGCATTCCAGTGCAGTATTCAATGTTTCCTGCATTATTGTAGGCACCAGTGACCCAAAATAGATCTTGCACTAAATTGTTGCAGTTAATACCTTGATTCTGGATGCTATTGGTGAACCTACATTCTCTCAGACTAGTCAGATTACCTTGTTTCTAGATATTTCCTAATCAACTCGTTCAAAGGTGTTTATTACACATGTCTGGACCAGTTAAGACTTCAGCCCACCCCTCCTGGCTCAGAGGATGAATGCTACCGTTGCACCTCAGGGGCCCACTAAGATTAGCTTGTCTACACTGGGTTACTTTACAGAAGGGAAGACTGGCACGATTTGCTCCTGGGCTTAGAGTAGGTTGAAATGAACTCAGAATTATCAGAGACTTTTGGTGTCATTTGCCGACAGATACAAGATAAATTTTAATTTGGAGACCATCTTGATGAGCATAATTGGGGAGTGTTAGGGAAGCGAGAAATGGAAAAGGCCCTTAATTCTGTTGGTTTTTTCCTGTCTATCACCAAAGATGTTTAATGTCTGCATTATCCAATATTGAACATGTGCAATTTTTAAAATCGGAAATAATTAGCTGGCTGTTTTTTTTTATAATGCTAACAAATCTGACAAAGTGAGCATTGTTTAAGGTACTTTGCAAATGGGAGGTGGGAAGAGTGCCTTTTGTGTTGCCCACTTAATTCTTTTACATAGATAAGTGAGGTGTCAAAAAAGGCATAAAATAACTTGAGCTGTTTCATGCATCGTGTTGCTGTTGTGCATCAAGACATTGTGATTCAGCTCAGACACAATTGCTTTAGCATATTCTAAATCAAATTATCTAGATGAGTGTTTGTGAATTGGCATAATAATAAACTTTTTAAAACACTGCTGCATGTTACAACTTTATTTTGGACCTTTTTGAGGAATAATTGTAAATGAATGTAGGCTTGCTCTAACTGTTGTATGTTTTTCAGGTATGTGGATGGCACCTGGTCAGCCAATGGGTAAGTTTGTTCTTAAATAAATTAATGCTTTGTATAATGTGTGGAGGAATGCACACTGTGTTTACATCATCTGTCCTGCGTTTCTTTTTCCTAGGTGGGTATGGTCCGCCACCACCTCCAGGAGGGAGGGGTGCCCCTCCGCAGCCTCCCCACTTTAATCCCTATGTAGTTCCACAGCCACCTCCAGGAGGATTTGCACCACCTCAGGGATTTGGACAAGGTTTTGGTGCTCCTCCGCAATATGGTATGTTTTTAACATTGCATTTCCACCAAACCAGAGAAAATGAACAATTAAATAGATCATACCATCAGGTTTTGAGTTAGAGGCGTTGAGAAACACACTTGCCTGTAACATGCAAACATTGCAAAAATATTAGGGCATCTGATCAAAGCAATATTTTTGTTGACATTACATATTGCATTATATTGTGTATGATGAATACATTTGTTTAATTTTTCAACGTAATATAAATTGAGATGGGAGTGCTTTTTACAATGCATATTAATGTAATAGGTATCCACTATCTGCCGAAAGTGGTTTTTCATCACAAAGATAATGGTTATACCATATTGATGCAGCAATGAAGCAATCAGTTTAAAACTATGATAAAGCAATCTGGTGGCGAGTCCGGGAAGTATTTTGTAACGGTGCAAAGAGGGAAATTGCATTACATTAGGCAACTGACACCATGTTCAGAACAACTGATTAGAACATGATGACCAGCTCTATCAACTTCCTTTTCATCTACAGTAAGTTAGTAAGGCTTACAGGTAGGCATTTTCACACTTGTATTAAAAGTCTTCACACTTTCTTTTATTTAGATCTTGACTAACAATTTCAGAATTGTGAAATCATTTACTTGCTTTTTAGTACTGGCTTTTTGTACCCTAACAGTGCAGCCTGTAGAAGCCTTGCTTTTGTATCTTCAAATGTATATTTTTAAAAATCTGTGAAAAATTTAGCACTTTCTGTCAGAATGTCTGGTGTGGTTTCTGCATTGCTGTTCTTACTGACCTTTTTTTATTGAACAAAGGTCCATTAAAGAACCAAGCTGGATTGCACTTTGTGCTTGGCAGTGTATCTGCTGAGCTTGATCTGTGGTTTTCTGTGGTTATCTTTAATTGATGGTCCATTCAATTTGACCATATAAATGTTCTTGCAGGTTTTTTTTTCCCATCAAAAAAGGTAATATCATTCCTGATCCCATATGGCATTAAACATGCTGTGTTTTTTTGTTTTGAGCAGAGAGCCAAGTGAACAGCACAGTACTGAATTTGTGACTGATTGATTGCTTTCCAGATGTCAATTTTACAAGCAGTCAAGAGTAAACAGCTGGGTCCATGTAGCACAGCAGGATTCATGTATTGCATACACATTTGTACACCTCAGTATGGCATATGCCCAAAAAAAAGGTTTTGTTCCTGGCCTTGCCTCGTGTTTTTCTTTTGTTCATAATGAGTAATGTTCTTGTCCCATTGTGACA